CACACACACACACACACACACACACACACACACACACACACACACACACTGTTCTGTATTTTTGCAGGTGCGATGGATGGTGTCAGATGAGGTAGACAGTGCGATATGTGTGTTTCTGGAACTGAACCTGGGTCAGAGTCCGACACACATTAGAGTAAGGTGTGGTCTTACAGCAGAGCAAACACTTCTGACTCACACTGAAGAGACTCACTGCCACCTGCAACAAAGATGTAAAACACACACACACACACACACACACACACACACAAAGCGTTTCACATGTGCTCACGGGAACAAAGAGGTTTGGTTCACCACAATATTTTTACTTCTTGTGCACACTTCCGTTGTGGTTATAATAGCTTTAAACTCCTATTGTATACATTGTATGTAAATCCTCACAGTGATTATCTTCTATTATTATTATTATTCATTGCTGCATAAGACTAATAATAATAATAATGACATCCACAATGACAAAGATCATACTTTCCAAACTCCCACCATACAAGGAGAAACACTCTGCCTGTCCCCACCCCCCTCCTCCCTGTCAGGTAGAGAGCTCACCTTTGTGGTCATGTGATCCCTCAGTGAGCTGCACCCGACTAAAGGTGGATATCTTTGTGCTGCAACTGTACTGCCGCTGTCAGAGTCTGCTCAGTTGTTTTTATTTTTCTCTCCTTTTTTTCTAATTACTTTCCGCCTGCGTGTGAAGTGGAAACTTTATACTCTCTCCAACATGTCCATCAGTCGGAAAAACTGGTCCGCTTTGTCCAGGTAAGACAGAAATCTGCTGAACTTTTCTGTCAAGTGACAGTGAGCCGTGTGCTTCAGAGCAAGGCCAGCAGGCAGCCGCTGCCTTCTTTCTGACAGCAACACYGACTTCACACGCTTTGTCTTTAATYCCAGGAAAGTAAGCAGAGAGTTCTATAAAGGAAACTTTCACCTCTTTCTTAAAAACTCTGTACAGTTTATTGATCTGAACTGATAAATTGACAAAAATGATATAGCTGATAAACATGTTATGAAGGATCTGTCTAACAGTTATCTGACATCTAAAAGAAGCAAATAACTGAGCTGTTTTTTTTTAATAAACTCTCATCATGTGAAAGTCATATCTTTGCCCTTGTTTCACTATCTGTTTCTGTTTCTGTTTCTTTTTATTTATTTATTTATTTATTTATTTATTTATTTGTTTATTTATTTATTTTTTGTTGCTGATTCGGACATTCATCTTCTGTCTGTGTGCCCCGTCTCAGCCTGGCACGTCAGTGGACGATGGAGGATGAGGAGGAGGTGGAGAGGGAGAGGAGGAGGAGAGGGAGGAGCAGCAGCACCGCCGACCCAGACGATGACTCCTTCTCAGCACCCAGAAAGTCATCCGGCAGTGATGCCGCGTCTGGGACTGAGTCCTCCAGYGAGACGTCCCAAGGCCTCAGCAGGTTGTTCCCTACAATCCATTCGAGGAAATTTAGAAACTATTGTCTTAACATGACCCTGATGCTGAGGTGTGAGCTGCTAATCCTAACCCTAACCCTATTTTTGATCCAATTTTCTGAGGAAGAAAAGACAATAATAAATGGTGTTTGTCTGTTAGCAAAATATCTCATGAAGTTCTGGACGGATTTAAATGAAACTCTCAAAAAGTAATCACTGGGTGTACCTCTACATTTGATTAACCATTGATGTTAATCCAAACCAAGATGGCTGCCACAGCTAAGCCAACGTAGCMAACACTATTTTGGCTCTCACTCAGTCAATTTTGCAGACATTCGGGTAGAACTTGGTGTGATGGTAGCTGAGAGTAATTCACAACACGTACTATAAGGGCTACAACTTTTGCAACATTTTAGTTTAAAACCTTGGCCGTAATTGTTGGCGTCATCCCTGTTTGTCTGTTCACAAAATATCTCATGAASTTCTGGACAAATTTAAATAAAACTTGTAGAAAGTAATCAGTGAAGGTTCACCTACAATTTAATWAATGTTGGTGCTAATCCAAATAAATATGGCTGCCACAGCTAAGCAAACTTATCAAACACTATTTTGGCTCTCACTCAGTCCATTTAGCAGATATTCAACTAAAACTTGTGATAGTAGCTGATCACAAGTCACAACACACACTCTAAGTGCTATAATTTGTGCAACATATTGGCTCAACCCTTGGCATTCATTGCTGTCATCCACCCTGATTGTCTGTTAGCAAAATGTCTCATGAACAACAGTGTCGATTGTACTGAAGCTTTCAGAAAGTAATCATTGGTTGTATATCTGCAATGGATTAAATTCTGGAGTCAACCCAATTCAAGAATCTTGCTACAGCTAATCAACTTTAAATTTTATTTACCAGTATTGTGGGAAAGTTGTGGCTGAGAGTCATCCTCAACACTTAGCATGAGTGCTAACAAAAGTTGTAAAAGTATTAGAGCTTGTGCTGAAAGCTATAACCCCATCCCTTTTCATTACAAGATGATTTCAGTTCAAACTATTGGCAAACGTTGCATTTATTGAAATTCTTCGTGTGTCCTTGTTTATCTGGCACAAGACAGGCAGGACAAAATTGTCTCAAAGTTTACAGTAATTTAACTTTGACTCAACACCTGCTTCATGAATGGATCCAAAGCTAACAGTGACAGGATACTTATAGTTTTGTCTCATTTTGTCTCCCTTTTTATTTCAACATGATCCCATAAAGTATCTAAAACACCAGCAGCTGAGTTTCTGAGCACAAGTCTTCAAAGGAAGTACAGTGGCTTTTATTACAGAAACCTGATCTGACTCAGAGCTCAGAGATCTTTTCTGCCAGTCTTTACAAACTGTCCAGTGTGTATCAGTAAATTAGTGTGTATTTTCTGGATTAGCACTGACCAGATGCAGCTGGATTTTGTGGAGATGCTGCGAGTGCGCGACGAGAGGAGGAGGATGAGACACGTGGAGACGTTGAGACGGCAGAAGGAGGAAGAGGAGGATGGTGAGAAGGCAACAAGCGGAGGAGAAGGGGCTGGTGGGCTGGCGCTGCTGGGGGACCAGGATGAGGAGGAGGGGAGTGTGTTCAAACCACAACCGCCTGTAAAACCATCAGCTGGCATTCCCAGCTACAGCAACACCAGAACAGACACGGCAACCAAACAAGTAAGTTTTTTTATAACAGCTGAATAAAAATTATTTGCAAAAATATTTTATTTTGCATGACTTGCACTGATGCTGTGCATCATCACCAAATAAAGTAACAACACAGCGATGAAAAGTGGATGCAATAAAAGTATGTGGTAACATGCTCATGCAAAATAACACACAGTTAGATATGCATGCTCTATCATCCTGCTGTCATCTTTCTKCCGGAGATGGTGCCGGTACAGCTGCTCCTAAATTTAACTCAAACAAAARGAGTCTGTTGTTTTTCTCCAGTGTRAGAGCTGTGAAAGAGCATCACTAAATGTCCTGATGCATCTCAGTAGAAAAAATCAAAAAGAAAAAATAAGTAGGTCCTCTGGATGGGTTCTTCTTTTGTGAAACGTTTTGTCTCTCCTCCATGAGGCTTCTTCAGTCTGATGAGTTTCAGGTGAACTCAGCCTTATAAACACTGCCTCCWCATGGACAAACAGGTTAGTCACAAGAAAAAGAKGGCCATCACCTAACAATAAGCTTGATTAGCTCTATTGTTCATAGAGGATCATGTGCCCCATCACCTGACTTATTGGTTTGGATGCTTCAGCTGTGGTTATTTGGTGTTTTGTTATGTGTATGTAGTGAGTGCAAGCTGGGTTCAACGTCCCCTTGTTTTTGTCCCTCTCTCCCTCTTTGTGTTGGTATCACTGGGGCCCTGATTCACACCTTTTCCTCACAGGGGGCTGAGTCATACTTGCAATAACAGTGTTGTAGGAGGGGGACAACTGGACACAAAGGCCTCCACCTCTGTTTTATGGTGGATGGTTTTTCTTCACAAAGATGGCTTCCTTTACTCCTCTCTCAAACCAACGTTCCTCTCTATCAAGGATGAGAACATCTTCATCCCTGAAAGAGTGACCGCTGGCCTGTAGATGAGAGTGAACTGCAGAGTCCTGACCCGACGATGTAGCTCGTCTGTGCTGGCTCATTCTTTTGAACAGTGGCTGTTTTGTTTCCCCAATGTGTGACTGATCACAGTCCTCCTGACACTTAACAGCATATACTATATTACTCTGTTTTTGCCAGGGAACTGGATCTTTGAGGTGAACTAATCTTTGTCGTAACGTGTTTTGGGGTTTGAAAGCCACTGGGACGTCATGTTTAGAGAATAAACGTCTCAGTTTCTCTGAAACTCCCGCCGGCGCCACATACGGAATAACGACTGATTTGGGTCTGGATTTAGGGTCTTCATTTTCAGCTGGTTGTTGGCTGGAATCCTGTTTGGGTTTCTTGTCTGCTTTCAGAAAAGCCCAGTTAGGATAATCGCACTGCTCCAGGGCCTGTCTTGTGGGTGACTTCTCTTTCTCCCTGGCTCCTGTGTTTTGTGCATCACTAAATACTAACATGATGAAAAGTCAAAATTTGGTGGAATATCAAGAGAGTATTGTTCACAAAGACAGCTGCAGTGACACAAAACCATATTTACTGGAAAACGGGGTCCAAACAACAACAAAACTACTTGAGTGTTGCATTTAAAAAGCTTTTAGAATTGCTAAGGGATTTTTTAAATTACTTTTTAAAGTCCCAAACAGCATAAAAAATTCTCAAAATAGTTTCTGCCTCCAGAGAAGCAACATATTTATTTCTAACATGAGATACAAAAATGTGTCCAACAAAAATAGCTTCATTTGTATAACAAGTATTTTTAGTTTTGCTCAACAACCACTTTTTTACAGATTTGATATCCATAGCCCTTGATGCCATGGGAAGATAACAGAAAACTTTAAGTGTATTTCATTTGCACTCATAATTTAGAATAACCCAAGTGAGACAAATCATTGTTACCATTCTGTTCTGCTGAAAAATTAGAATTTTTAAACTCCAAGTTAGAAAATGTAACTTTTTTCTCAAAGATCTTTGTCACAGAGAACTGTACTTCCTGTATTTGTGTATTATAAACATCACGCTTGTGTAGATTATCAGTCATTCAGAACATGATAATCCATGATAAGTGTTTTCTAAAAAGCAAAAGAAAAGTTTAGCTGCCTTTTATAAAACTCGTACAACTGTGGACAGATTGTTCCTGCTGTCTGTAACTTTATTTTCTGCTGCATTTTAATTCTAGGACCGAAATGAAGATGTGGACAAAACACCCTCTTTCCAGTAMGTTTGTGAAGTTTATTTAGAATGATATTTCATTAGCTATTTTTTGCCTCATTTTATGATTACTATTGCAGTTAGTGATTGATAAACTGTTTTTGTTTTCAGCTCTGGTCAAAGGACTTCCTCTTCAAAAAGATCCATTAAGATGGAGCGAGCAGCATCACAGGTCAGGTTACGCTCCTCTACAGCTCAGTGTGATCAAAGACTTCTGATCAAATCTTATCTAGCTGCATCATGCACGAAAACTAAAGGATTTTTAACTGGAGTTAACTGGAACTTTTTATTTTTACTTATGTCAGTTTGTATCTCTTTAAATTAGTCATAGAGCCAATACTACAGTGAACATGTTGCTGCAGTGTGTGAATGCACAGAAGGCAATATCCACTTAAATTACTAATTTAGTCTGAATCAGTGAGCACAAGGTAMRTCYTATTTTTCTGATTTGTAACYGGGACATGACCRYTTCTGATGTGACCGTTTTCAAGATCTGAAGTCTAACTTCTGCGGTGTATGAAACACAACATTTCAAACCTCAAAACCCAACATGGCCGCCTCCTACACAACAAAGAGGTGATGGTCGAAATAATGAACTTTTTGGTCAGACGTTTGTCTCATGAAATCAGTTTCAAATATAYTATATAACATTTATTGGTGAAAARGTTGCTGCAGCATTGGTTGCCTGAAATTATTAGAAATTATTAATTTTCCTGTTGCTATGTCAAAAGTGTTTAACCTGGTGATTTGCCTCAGTGCATTCCATTCATCTCCAGAAGTTGGAACAGTGACTTGGAAAATAGGAGCCCTGACATCATAAACATGACTACTAAAGGCATATAAAGTGGCACTAGCCGCAGTAATAAACTATTTATTTGTGTGCACCTTTTTTTCTTTTAATAACTAAGTTGTACATAATAAACTATAAGTGAACATGCTGTTACTGTGTTTAAATGAAGATACACTGCAGTGCTTGTTTGTACAGTTAATGATTCCGAGACTTCCCACCGAGCAAAACAGTTATCTAATCCCACTGACTTGCAAGTGAATCATGGGTAATATGGATGTGACGTCATTTTCAAATCTGAGATCTAAGCTTTCGTTTATATGTCCCTGTTAAAAAGACCGTAATGTGCTGGTTTCATGAGAAAAAGTTAAAATCTTTGGTTGTGTTTCACTTTGCTACAGATTATAGAAGTAACTTTTAGACAGACAGTTGKTTGAACAAAACATTTAAACACTTTCATTTACGGCCTGTTCTTTACTTAGCGGTAATTCGGTGCCACCAACAATGGCACCTTACACTGAGGCTGATAGTTAACTATTACCCCACGCAGAGGGTAAATTGTGTTAATCATTCTCTACATTCTGTAACAACAACAAATAAAAGTTTTGCACGGGAGCTGGACAGCTGTTTCAAGTCAGGTAAAACCAAATAAATAAAGACAGATATTTAGTCAACTAAGTCTGGTTCAAAATGTTTGCCAATTTAAGCCACAATGAGGAAGCCCRTGTGTTGGACCTCATTATGCACCATGTGATGTTTGGACAAGAATTAAACCTGGCACAGATTTACAACCTGGACTTGGGCATGGTTCTTGGGTGTGCCTCATCGTGTTGCTGAACTCTGGCATCCGTTCTGGTCTGAAAGATTTAGGTCTATGTAGAGCCRACGAATATCAGTTCAATGGAATTTTGTAAACAAAAGTTCAAACAATCCATAAAATGTGAAACAGGGCAATTTTAATTAATTTAAAGAATTTAAACRTTAATATACTGAGCACCATAAGTAAGGAAATGTGTGTTTAGTAGATCATTTCTTTRTTGTAACAATGCTTCTTGACAATAAATCTCACATCAGGCACCTGACTGGCAGCAGTAGGGGATGTAAGAAGCTCAAAACAAGAGTCGGTAGCAACAGCAGAATACGTTGTTTGACAGAGAAGATTTGGTAAATTTTTCATGTGCACAACACACATACTCAGCTCTACTGCGCATCCCACAAATGCATGTTCCTTACAAATGTGGCACAGTTTAAAAGGTAAATTAGCAGGCTTTCCAACAATATAAGATTCATTGCCAGGAGGCATTGTTACAACAAAGAAATAATTTACCTACTTTTGGTTCTAAATGTTTTTAGACTGAAGTAAGTTGCAGTTTTAGAGGATTGAGTTTTGAATTCTTATTTCCGGTCCTGTTTCTGGTTTTGCACTTTTTCCTTTGAATCAAACCATCATGCAAATAATCAAAAACGTTCACAAAGTGTGCTTGAGGTCCTAATTTGAACTTTATCTCTTATTCCACACAAACTGCTCCATGTGTTATCTAACACAAGGTGTGTCTCAGGTCCATCTGCACAAACACTTCCTACCTGTGTATTTATGTTGTCTTCCCTTTTTATTTTCATTTTTATTAGCAAGAAAAAGAGGAGTCATCCAGGAAACACCCTGAGCCCGATCAGAAACCAGTATCCAACCCAACTCGCAAGTTTGTCAGGTGAACAAAAATTTCAGTTTTTTATATAAATTTAACAAATGAATAATTATATTTAATTAGATAAGTGTGAATAGAAAAAGTGACTGAAAGAGAAGAATAGCAGCGAGAGCTATTACTTTTTCAGCGCAAACTATTATGGTGATGATTTGAAATGTAAATATTTGTTCTAACAGCATTGCCCATAACAGACAAATAGAGTATTTTAGTTCCTAAGTTTTGTACAGTTACTTATTAAATGAAACTCATRCAAACCAGCCTCAGCTTGTTCAGGATCTGCTGCTTAAGTAGTTGCAGGAGTCAGACTGGAACCTCTGGTTTTCTCTTAAAACACAAACTGGTTCTTCTTTAGATCTTTTGTTTTAGTTTATTGTGTTTCCTGTTTTTTCTTTTCTTTTCTTTTCTTTTCTTTTCTTTTCTTTTCTTTTCTTTTCTTTTCTTTTCTTTTCTTTTT